GTTGGCAGATCTAATAGAATATCATAATGAATTGGAGCATTATGTGTATACTGTACTTTCAGCAAGGACTGAAAAAGGACAGCCACGGGTTTTTATGTTGTTTGTGGTGATTTTTTTTTTTTAATTTGATTTAAAGGTTTAAATTATTTGTTTAAATAATAAAAGCAAACCATCACAGAGACATAATTGGACAGAAACCACAATTTTGGAATGATGCTGAAACCACACAGTGGTACAATAGTTGTCAAAGGAAGACAGAGTTCAGGTAAATTGGCTGAAGGCACTTAAAGAAATGTGCCTTCATTTATTTTGGTGCCGTGAAATGTCACTGAAATTTCAGCGCTGTGAAATGGCATGAGGTTTCTTGGGTTATGCCTGGTGTCATGATATGTTTTGGAAGGATGCCATGAAAGCAAACCCCACTGGGGTAACTCAGATGGGTGCTGTGGACCCCAATGGATGATTTGAATTTAGCCTCTCCCATGAATCCCAAAGACTTTCTGGAAGCATGTGCACTATTACACACCACAGGCACTACTGGGCTGTAGAAAACCAAGTGGGGGTGACACGTGCTTGGAGTGGGAGCAGAGGAAGGCTTCTGCGTTTCTGATGTTCTTCATTGCCTCCATGTGCGACCAAATAATTTTGAATAACTCCAAGGTGGTTTGCAAGTCTAGGGGTGCCTGGATATCATAGAATCCTAGAATGGTTTGGGTTGGAAGGGACCTTAAAGCTCACTCAGTTCCAACCCTCTGTCATGGGTAGGGACACCTTCCACTAGATTGGGTTTCTTGATGTTAACTTTTTTGTTATCTGGCAGTTTTGCACAATAATCTCTTGCCTTTATAGACTCAGTCAAACTACAAATGCATGTGTCCCTGGTCTGGGATTTCTCTCTCTCTTTTTTTTAAAAAAAACCACTTTATAGGAATCCTGTTGTTTTCTTCTCCTCATTGTAATTCTCAGAGTATCTATGAGAATCTTCTTCCTGAGTATCTGTGCGCAAAGTCAGCATTATAAAACCTTCTGCTTAACTGAAAATTCTGTGCAGTTTGGCCAGAAGCTGTCATGGTTCTGTCCTTTCTTTTTCTACTCCTTTAAGATCTATAAATGTGTGGGTTCTAGGGGGATTAGTATGTGGTTACAGATTAAATGTTTTTTTTTCCCCTATCCCATAATTAGAAAGGTATGAAAAATCAGATGCGAGATTGAACAGTGTAAATCCTCCAAAATTAAAAACATTTCAGAACTGGAATAAATATTAATAAATTGATGAAGGCATAATGAAATGCTGTAGATACGTAAGGGGAAAAGCAAGCAGGAATGGAGGGAAGATTTTTATAGACCTTAATTACAGCAGGGTTGTTAGTAAATTTACTGAATTGTAAATGTAAAAGATTCGGATGGCCTGAGTGAAACTACATATTTAAGCTTTCTAAATGAACATTTCTGTTTTTTGAGTAATTTGTACCATCTGTGTCAAAATTCTGAGCCTAAGAAGAAAAAGCAGTGGAACAAATGTTGGTTCCATAAAACAGTCCTAGTTCATTGTTGAAATTGTCACACATTAACATTGCAGGCCATCTGGGTAGACAAAAGACTCTAACCAGATTGCTAAGATGATTTTATTGGTCTGGTATTAATCAGAATGTGGCATAATATTTAAGCAGAAAAAATGATGAGGTGAAGTGGAGTGCCTTTAACTACCCTAACTGTGTGGTAGTTGCACAATAATCTTATTACACCACAGAGCACTGTGTTTCTAAGCAAAGATCCTAATTCTGAAATGTAAATAACAAGCTATGTGATATTTCCAATTTATAGTTTAAAATAAAATATGAAACTTAAAGAAGTAATGACTGTTGGCATATTGCAATGCAGAGATTTAAAGGCCACAGCATGGTTATATTAAATTGCGGTATACCCACAATCATGTTGGAATTAACTTTAATTTCTTTTTGTAACATTGTAAATCAGATTACACTTCATCTCAAAGAATCCAGAACTCGTGATTTACAATTGATTTTCTACATTTTGAATCTCTACACAATGCAGCAGTTTGCCTTCTCTCAGGGACCTAGAGACAACAGTGTGTATATGCATGTATCTGTGTGCTATATTTGTTCTCAAAAGTCTTCATCTACTTTCTCACCTTTCATAGGCAATTGGAGAAGTCCCTCTTTTTAATGTTCTCCATGATCTTGACTCTAGTTTTCCCCTTATGATTCTCAGAAAGCCAGTGAGTGTTTTTGCATCCCTCTCCCTACTGTACCACCTCTTATAAAACCGTGTCCACCCTTCTGTGCTGAGTCTGATCCTTGTAAGGCCTCTGAATGTACAGATACCTCCAAGCACCATGGAAAGCCTTGTGCTGGGAACACTTTACAATTTCTCTAGTGGGTTTGCTGTGAAAGTTACCCCACTCAAGTGAGGCAGTCAGTGGAGAGACCTACAGAGCTGTGGACTGGGCTGCCTGAAGGTCTGATGAGGTGGGAAGTGGTGACTCCATCATTAGGTTTGTCCTGGGTTCAGCAGTAACAGTCTCATGCTCTGCCAGGGAGGAGGGGAAGTCAGAAGGAAGCAGAGACAGGACACCTGACCCAAACTAGCCAAAGGGGTATTCCATACCACAGCACATCAAGCCTGGTATATAAACTGGGGGCAGTAACCCAGAAGGGCTAGGTCACTTCTCGGGTCAAGCTGGGTATCAGTCGGCAGGTGGTGAGCGGTTATATCCCTTCCCTTGTTATTTCCCTCATCGGTATTATTATTGGTGGTAGCAGCAGTGATTTGTGTCGTACCTTAGTTACTGGACTGTTCTTATCTCAACCCCTGGGAGTTGCATTCTTTCGATTCTAGTCCCCATCCCTCCAGGAGTGGGGGGAGGAAGGGGGAGGGGAGTGAGAGAGTGTCTGCGTAATTCTGAGTTATGGCTGGGCTTAAACCACGACAAGGTTCAAGTGTGGATGTGCCCCATCTCTTGCTAAGGAAGGAGAGGGAGGCTGTGTGGTTGCGGTATTATTACCCATCTGCAGCAGATGTCACTGTCTTAGTCCCATGATGTTCCCAAGACCATGGGAGCCCTGCTGCACTGGTTTGCTGTCCTCAGTGCTTGCATGGCAAATGCTGCTTGACTGCTGGACTGCCAGGTGGGTTTTGTAAAAGGCCTGAAATTTGCCCATTTGTAAGATATTTCTGGTTCTGATTATAACACAGAGTGCATTCTGTGGAAGGAGCAGCAGCACACTCCTGTGCCATTTTCCTAGAACAAAATATATGGTTGGACGGTTTCTGCTCTGTAGTTTTCTACTATGAAATCCTTGCTTAATCTCAAAAAAAGAGGAAGAAGAAAAAAAAAACAAAACAGTTACTCCCTACAAAACTTGTATTGGAAAAAAGCTTAAATCTTCCAAATCAATAATATTAGGATAATTCAACAGGACATGTACTGCAGTTAAATAACACAGATGCCAAATTAATTTAGGTTTTTTTTGCCTTTTGACTTCTATTTTTAAGTTATTAATCTGAGAGCAAGGTGAAATGGGAAGTAAAGAAATACTGTGAAAGAGGGTTGAAGAAATTAAACGATGGTCAGTGGAAGGCAGGATTGTCTAGCAGGAGAAAAATGAGGGGGAGGGCTGTCAGACAGACTGAAACAGAAAGGTGGAAGGCAACAGGTTTGGACCAAGAACTCACAAACTGTGACCCCTATTTATTTAGACAGCAAGAAGCGCACCAGTTCACGGTGAGGCTGTGAGGCTGAGGAAGGCTGTGCATGGTCCAAGAGGTCTGGCCATGCTGGGCAATTGTTTCGTACAAAACCTCTCTCCCTTGGGGCAGATCTAGGACTAAGCAAAACCAACTGTTCCTTGCAAGCTCTGTGGGTTGAGTTCATTGCCTGGGCAGGAGTAGACCCTTAGGAGAGGTCCTGGTTAATATCTTAATATTTTCAGTTTGAATTATGCATTGCTCAGGCTTCAGATTGGCTGGGAGATGGTTAGCCCAAAGGGACTTATGATGTCCTTGTATCTTGCTGACCACAATCCTCTGGAAATAGCTTGTGGGCCAATGTTTATTTGGGAAGGACAAATAGAGTGTTTGTCTCAAGATGAGGTGAACTTAACTGTGATGGAGAGAACATTTCTAAGCTTGAATACCTTGGGTAACAGTGTTGCTTGATCTTCTGGTGATATGCTACTTGGCAGAAATCTCATTTAAAGGAGATATTCCAACTTTTACCAGCAGTTCTTTGTTTTTTTTTGTTTCTTTGGTATTTTTTTTTACTCAGTTCTCATTAATCTTACATTTGAACTTTTAGAAATGCTAAACACTGGTGTGAAAAGCTGACTGAAATCTTTGTTTTTTGATTAAAGGTTTTCCATGGGATTGCCTATTTAATAAAAGATTTATCAGCCATTGCTGTGGAATTCTTCAGTATAGTGTAAATTACACCTAATTAAACAAAACATTTGGAATTGTCAGCTAGCATCATGGTGCTGGCCTAGTCCTTGATGACAGACAGCAATGGTGAGAAAATGTCACTGCGGCCACACAAGTGTTGCGCTATCAGCCACATACAAGTGAAATGTGGATTAAAATGCTATTAACATAGCCAATTAAACATAGGCATAAACAAACCAGTTAAATCAATAACAGTGGCTGCTGTGTTACAGAGCTGGTGCTTTGCAGTGTCTCACTCTGCCTATCTGAGGACCGCCCAGAACAAGAAACCTTAAGCCAGGATGTTTTGCATGTCGATGGGCAGGATAAGGCCACACCTTTGCAGCATGCACACACTGCTGGCTGTTAAGTATCATTTTATTTCCTAGCTAAAAAATGTTTGATGTTTTTCTTCCCTCTTTTCTATTTTTTTTTTTTACAGTTATACATGATGTGTATTCATGCATTCCAGGTCTCCTTAACAATCTGCCTCTGTAGTTCGTTATAGTTGCTGTAATTGTGGCTTGTGGCTGAGGTGTGAGTCTCAGGGCCAGCAAAGAGCATGAGCCATCTGAATGGGAGGTTTCGTAGCGCAAAACTAGGTTAGTAACAAAATAAACAGAGGTAGCCTGCTATTTCACAAGAGAAAAGTCAACTGTTCCCAAGTCTTTCACGTAGCCACCACATCCATCACACCCATTTCATGCTTTCTCATATTTTTTATTAATGCTTGGTTTTGGATATGCAGTTCTCTGTCCTGGAATTATGAAGATGCCCATCTTCTGCACCTTTACTTTAAATGTTTGTTAGTCCATTTTGTAACTTTTCGGCATCACCTCCTCACCAGTTCTTCTACTGTCAAATGTAGAAATTAAACTCTGCATACGTGTTTTTGTATGGACTATGAAATAGAGTAACCCTAGAATGAGAAGGTTGGAAGTGTTTTGTATTTTTCAGGTGTTTAATCTAATCTCTCTTCCTGGTCAACTGGCTTAATCCCTTAGTCTTAAAGGATTAAGTGCTACCTATAGTAGATCTCATCCTGATGTCAAAAGATTTCTCTGGATGGCTGGTATCCTAAAGCCCAAAACCAGAAAAATAATCACTCTGCAAAAAGTCAGCATTGCTTTATTGAAACCTCCATTTGAACAGTTAGGAGAAGCATCACGGCTCTATTTATCTCTTAAGACCACTTTCTTAATCACTACTCTTTTTATCTCCTAAGACCCGCTTCTTAATGGCAATAACAGGAGAGCACTGGGTATTTTTCAGCCTGAGAACTTTCATCACAAAAAAATGATAAGATTTCCTCTTAATTGTTAATCTGAATCCATTTAAAAATGAAAAATGAAAAATAGTGGTCTTTTGTTTATATTTTTCAGTAGTGATTAAAAGAAGTGATTCTTTAAACAAAAAATGGAGAAGGAATTTTTTGAAGCATATTAGAATTCTCTTCAAAAGACTAGACATTTCTTTTTGAGGGGTATAAGACACCCATTAGGAGGCCACTTTGATAGTATGTTGGGTTTTGTCAAATGAATGCCCTTTAAAAGCAGCCCAAAGGAAAACAATGGGGCAAAAAAAGCAAGAGCCCTGTTTCCAAAGATAACTGAGCAGGCGTTTAGCAGTGGCCCATGTTATGGGAACACTTTAAGTAGATGGTCCTGCACAGGTTATAAACAAACTTGCCCCATTTTCAATGGCTGTTTTATCACTCTGGTGGTCCAGTAGGCATTTTGATATTGATATCAGAGCTACCACGTATCCAGACAGTGTCAGGTTTGCATATCCAAACTGCCTTATTCCTTTGAACAGTAGCAAGGAAAAGCTTGAGGCTGACTGCTGTGCTGGGCACTGAGCTTCTGGAACTTTATTAAAAGCAAAAAAAAAAAAAAAAAAAAAAAAAAGTATCTGAGCACTAAAGACAGCCCCTGAGGTTAAAGGCAGATGAGGAAAGTAAAGTTGCTTTTGTGTGAAACCAGAGGCCACCACAGCCCCACTGCCTGGTTTGCTTTTGGGGTCGTTGTGTGCCACCAGCTTCATTGGTAAGATGCTTTCTATGCTTTGTGTTGCTGCAGGTTGCGTGAAGTCTTACCTCAGATGTCTGTGGTGTGCCAAGAGCACATTGCACGTGGATCATGGCCTGGACCTGCGTCTCTTCTCTTTCTGATACTTATTCATTTTGGATGCTGCAGGATCAGGCTCTACAAATTAGAAAATGAATGAAGAGCTTGATTAGAGCTTTAAATGGGATTCTTGAGACTTTTGTTTGTACCTGAGGCAGTACGTATGCTGAAATTAAACAGCAACCACTTTTGGCATGGTTCCTCTGTTCATATAATCTCTCTAGCAGACAGTGTTTTCCTACTGTAAATTTCTCTCATATGTATTTATTTATTTATAATCAGAAGCACCATATGTGCATATAGGGTTCTGGGGAGTAATCAGGGCCATGTTCAGTCCAGCAATGCCATGGTCATTCTGTCCCACCAAGGCATGGAGGGAATTTGGGCTTGCTACCTTCCTTGCTCCTGTGTGATTTTAGTTAGTGTTGCTGTGATTTGGGGCTCTTCTGGGATCTTACTGACCTACTTATGGGTTCTGTAGCCCCTCCTGGATGTAAGTAAGGAACATGAGAAGTCATCATGAGGTCCTCTGCTGTCTTCTTCCAGTGTCCAGCCCTACCGTTCCTGAGGAGCCCATCTCTACCTGTTGCTCTAGCTGCTGTCTCAGGCAATGCTCCTCCTTCCTTCCAAACAAGCCTTCCCCATCTCTTAAAAGGACACTCTTCAAAGGTCATGGGTGACTGACACTCTTTTAAGCAACAATCTGAACATTTTATAATTAAAACAGTGTTGATATGAGGGTATTTGTCTTGCAATAGAGAAATCAGGAAAAAGAATAAAATGAGGTCAATGAGGAAAAGAGAGAAAAAAGGGACAAGAATTACAGTGACTGGCACTGACTGAGGAGGGGAAAGCTGCTGGGAAACCTTGAATGCAGCAAGAGTTGGAAGAAGGGAGAGACTCTGACTGGAAGAAAACTAAAGGTTAGAGGCAGTCCCTGAGCACTGTAGTGTGTTTTCCTGGAAGGGTGAAGCCTGCCTTGTGGAATGCTTCATCTCAAAGGGAATGCAAACACTGTCCTGGGCTCTGCCTCTGGGCTGTTTGTTTTGGTCTTTGCAGATCGTATTTAACACTGGGCAGTGGCATTGCTGTTGCTTTGTCAGGTTGTCAAGACCACTGGGAAATGCAAGCTGATTCAGCTTGAAGTGTATTCCTATATCCTTAAACTTTTTTCCTTTTTTTTTTTTTTTTCTGTAGACAGTAAATTCAGCTTTTGCATGTGATTTTTACTTCATGACAAGGTGTGATGAAGTGCTTAAGTATTTCTGTAAGTTTAAAATTATCTTTACAATGTCCCCCGTTAAGATTTCTGACAATTGCTGTTAATCTTTAGTCCAGGGAAAAAGGCTTTTTCCACACCATATGGACTACACCAGATTAATTTGTTGCCTGTTGTCCTTCATGGGACATGAGGCACATTATGTTGAGTGATAGATTGTCTGTGGATGTGTCATAGCAAGAGCATGCTGGCATATACACACAGTTGACAAAGTCCTGCATACCTACATTTAGTCAATGTACTTACCTGAGGTGTATTTTGCTATTTTATTTTCCCTACTGCCCTTAGCATGCATTTTCACATTCCCATTTCACTGAACCATTGCTAGGCTGGAGATCAGCTTCTTGTGCAGTGTGCTCAGTGAAGTCTCCTATTTCTCAACTGCAAATCAGTGCAGATGTGGGCCATTAAAGCCATGATTGACTCCAGACTAAGGTTTCACTCCCAAACAGTTTATGCACTATTGAAGGCTAGGTTTTTTGTTCTTTGATACTTGTGTTTTGTAAGAGCTTCCTGGCAACATCACTAGTGCAAAGTCAATTTTTTATTAGTTTATTTCTAATAAAGAAGATAATTTTGTGGCCAGAGAGTTGAGACCTAGAAGCTCTGTTGTGTCATGAAAAAGACCATATTTTAATGTGTGGAAATATTTCCAGGGTGTGGTCTGTTTGTGGATCATTTGTTTTAAACATCCAAAGCTACATGGTGCTAACAGTATGTGATCAAGGTGCTTGTACCAATGTAGTTTTTGTGGATTAAAATATGGGAAATAGGTTGCCATTCACAGGTGAAACATAGTTCTTGAAACAATCACACAATCCTGTTTCCATGAGTAATACACAAACGGGTCAGAAGATTAACAGGGTGTTGTGTTCCACAGTACAGAATGCTGGTTTGCTTCAGTGGGATCAAAATACATGCAGAATTTTAACAAAGTCTATAAATTAAAAAAAAAAAATCATTTCCCCTTTCAGAATTGTGGTGTCTAGCATTGAAAATCAATTCAGATATTTATATCCTGTAGCAGTTGATTTCTAAGCAATTAGAGTAGAACTAAAGTATTTGCAAGTTTTGTATTTTCTTCTGTTGTTTGCTGCTTCTTGGATAATTTTATCCATGAAGACTTCTTTACCACTCTGTCTTGCTGACTTAGCTGACTTAAAATTAAAGCATAAAATGAAATGTTTATTTAATCGTGGTGATGTTCTTAAAAACTTGAGAGATTTTTTTGTATCACTAAAGAAGTGACTTTAAAATTTCCTGAACTTCTTAAAATGCATCCTCAAGATTGATAATTAATGAAGATATACTAAACAGTAAATCAGCATTTAGGCTGTATTTGAATAATTAGAAATTTAGACTAAATTATCCTAGTGTGTCCAATATGCTTAACTTCATGATTTTAAAAAACGTCTCATAAAATGATCAGATCTTTTGTACAAAATTATTTCTACCTGATTTAAATTCTGGGAATGCAACATCTTTAGCTATAACACTTTTTTTCTGAAAAGAAGGAAAAAAAACTATTCGGTGTTCAAGACTTTTGTACAAAAAGTATAAAAGAATCTTAATGGGGAGGAAAACTGAATCTGACAGTGAAATTCACACAGCTTGGTTAATTACACAAATTTTAATTCATGCACAACCTCTGACCAGATTTCATTCTCCTGCTTGACTCTTTGTAGACTTGCATCTTGTCGCTATAGCAAATCAAAGACTAACCAGTAGCAGTAATTTTAGACAGTTCCCTGATACAGTGAACTTTGCCAGACAAGAATGTACTTGACTCTAGATCCAAAACTTTGCTCTTGATATGTATAATTCTTCATACTATATCTGAGAACCACTGGCCATGGTAAAGCAAATGAAGTGTTAATTATCCAGAAAGAGCTCAGTTCTGCCCAGTGATGAATAGACTGCCCAGATTCAGAAATGGACTTATTTATGTGATTAAAGTTAAGCACATGCTTAATCTCATTGATCTCTAACATCAATAATGGTTTACCAATTCAGAGCTACAGTTGGTGTTGCAAACACAAAGGAGAGACGAATGAGTGGGGTCTCTGTCTTGAATTTGCCCACTGCATTTCTTGTGCACTGGGAGGTGCAAACAAAAACAGGTTATTGCTTGGAGATGGACTTCTGGGAACTCTAATTCTTTATTATTGTTGGTCTTTCCATTTCTTGTTTCTCAAGTTATGGGTGAAATTTGGTCGTTAATGTTTTGAACCAAATAGATTTGGTGGAAACTGCTCAAGTGAGGGGATGCAAGCTAGGAATAAACACACTGGCAGCAATCTTGATGACAGAGAATATTAAAATAGAAAAATTACAAATGAAAGAGAAAAATTCTAGGGCTGGATATCAATCAATAACATGCATTTGTAGCCTCCTTCAAAGGTGGAAATAAATAGAGATATAATGGTGCCCTCTAGACCTGGTGCTTTCACCAGTGTCTATGTGTGCCTGGCATGCTTGGAAATATAAATGCCATAGCACCAATATCCAGTAACATTTGAGTGCAAGTTCATTTATGTTGCTTAGGTGTGGGACATAAAACTGACATATACTGCTGGAAAGCTAATTTTGTCTCCCTGGGGGGGTTATTTTTCAGGACTTCTTTTTTGTTTCTGAAGTATTTCTTCTGTAGAATACCCTTTATCTGTTCTTAAAATGCACTAGAGAGGCAAAAAAAAAAAACCACTCCAAAACCTTCTCTAGGATACTCACCTTTGGTTTTCTGTTGCAATTATCCTTCTTTGGCTGAGAAATAGCTCTTTCCAAATATTTTCTCAGCAGTGCGTATTAACACCTACAGTCACCTTTCATAGCTTTGCTAGAAAAATCTTTATTCCCAAAGCATCTGTGCTGGAGTACTAAAAGCACAGACACTTCTAACCATTTTAGATAATGGGCTGAGGAGAAAACAACTCACTATTCACACAGGAGCTTTCATCATTGATAGAACTGCAGTGGTTTCATTGAATGGAATTCAGCTTTAACATTTTTTTTCATGTGTAGTGTAACCTCAAACATAAGCATGCTTGGTTAGCCTCAAGACTGTTGATGAAGCAAGAAAGGTACCATTGTCTACCCACCTTTAATATTAATGGAATTAAATAAACCTACTTTTGTTCCATGGTCTTCAGTTAGGAAAAAAAAACCAAAGTTAGAACCATTATAGTACATTAATATCTATTTCCAAACATGGAGGGGTGGCGTGAAAAATCCCTTGAAGATATTTCCTGCATGAAGGTTTACTTTGGGAGGAAGGAAAGATAAGAAAACCTCAGGGAAGAAACTACACTGACTTTTGTAATGAGCTGTGTTCCAGCTATATAGATCTCAATATCCTAAAGCCAGTTTTTGGGTTGAGGATTAATGCTTAGTTTTGATGACACTGTATTAGAGAATGTGCTGTGTCAAGAATACATTTCTTCTTAATTGCCAAGAGATTACTAATAAACTCATCCAATTATTGGTACCATGTTTTGTGAAGGTAGCTTAGAAGGGAAAATAATATTGACAGAAATCAATGCCTCAAAGGTAATATGAACATCAGATTTATGTGACGATAAGAGACAATTGACCAATCCTGGAATGTACAAACTAACCAAAACTGCTTGGTTCTGAAAGTTTTTCATAGAGTCAAAAGCAGACTGACATTTTTAACCCAATACCTTCACAAAGGTTTATAAAACTTTCTGGACTAGTTTGAGGTTAGTTGTCATGAGATATGCATAGATTTATGTTTGGTGATGAAATTATACTTGAATTTCTTTTGAATTGCAGAGCTCAAACAAGTCAAGTAGCATATGAAACCTGACCATTTGGTTATTTATCCAGGTAGAAGAAAAAAACATGCAGGTACTCTGAGGAAAGTTAAAATGCTACTGGTTTTTATTCCTCTGCTCTCTATTTAGTGAGTGATAAACGCTGCTGCATTCCTCAGCCTATTTCTTTTGTGTTCTTGGTTACCATACAGCATATGCAATATACAGAAAAACACAAACATTTCCTGCTTTTTTTTCTTGGCAGTTTTCTCAATTCGGTATTTTGGAATTAAAATGAAATAGTGTGAATCAATGTAGAGCACACAGAACACCACGTTTCTTGATCCTCTGATGAGCATTTTTAGAAAAAACTGCTGAAATATGCATCATAATCAATCTGATGAACAACCAATGAAAAAGGCTTTTAAATATTTAAGAATTTCTGTGTTGTAGCACATTTTTTTAAAATGAGACTGCAAGTTCCTATAGACAGAGAAGTCCTCCACAGAAGACTTTTGCATCAGAAGGCTTAAAATGCCTAATACAATCTTGTTTAAATTGGGATCTACTGTGGCCTCTCTGAAGTACACTGATGACCCTGTTTCAGCACCCAGGGAGTGACCACCACTGCTCTTTCCATCCTCCAGGGAGACTTGCTCTTGATTGCCCTAGCAGTCCCTGAGCATCTGCCTCAATTTCCTCTGTTGTTTTTGTAGCAAATCTTTCTCTAATTACTCATAATTTCACCCTAGCCATGCATGACATCTTCTGGAGCATCCTCCCAGCCAGCATCCACCTGCATTGCCCCCAGGATGGTCTGCAGTAATGCTGGATTGGGTATTGCTCACCTCTGTGTGTTCCTGCAAACTCCCCAGCGTCATGGGGTAATCCAATTTCTAAACACAAGACATAATTGATATTAAAGCACTTTAAGCAACAGTGCAGCTTTGTAAATAACAATTCGTCATCATAGAAAGTGATTTTTGCAAGGCGAGGGCTTGAATAAGGCAATGTTTTTGGGTGATGCTTTAGTGAAGAGATTTTCTGGACATCTGTGATTTACCTGTTACTAATATTATGCTATTTAACAATCAGGAAGCAGTGTGTAAGAGCAATAATAGTAATCTTAGTTAGAATGGTATTGATGAAAGTACCCTTTAATTCACTAATTATGACAGCTAAAAGGCATTTTCACATTCAGAGTTAAAATCACTGTATCTGTATTTTTACCTCACTCTTCCAGCTGCAGAACTCTCTTTCTAACATGTTTTTAGTCATGTTATGCAAATGCCTGTTTAAATTACTAGGAGTATTTGTTTTCTATTTCTGCCCTGTAAAACATAATTTTAATACAAGTTATTTGTGAAATGCACATTGTAAAAGGAAATCAGGTTTCAGATGGCATTTCTATGATAATTTTACTGCAAATGTTGACCATGTTTTTGTATTTCTCTGTAAAAGGTAATGCAAGCTGTGCATAAGGCATATTTCAAAGATCTAATATTGTATGTGACTAAATTAGCGAAATAGCATTGGCTTCCCTTTGAACAGTTAGTCTAGCACTAATCATATGGCATAAAATAGATCACCCCCTTGCATACATTTTGTGGCACACGGTGCTGAACATAGCCCTGTTGCAAAGGTCGAGTGCCCATTCCCTCTCTCCCTGCCTGGCACAGGAGCTTGGGGTGTTCACCCCAAATGAACATGAGCTAAAGGCCAAACAGCTGAGCCTGTGGAAATACACACGGCTGGCACCATGGTGTGGGTGGGTGTAATGCATGTAAATGGCAGGTAACAAATGTATGAGCAAGTAAGTCAAGGTGAAGGGTGTGCTGAATACCTAAAAACTGACTGCGGTGCTCTGCCAGCATGGGGAGAAGGAGGGGGGAAACTGGGGAGCCTAGCAAGGTTTAGCCCCTGGGAAAGTGCTTGGGAAATTCCCAGCCAGATCTTCGTGCTGCCTTGTTAAATGCAAAAAAAAACGGCAATTAAAATCACACTTCCTACTTCAGATTGATTTGTTTAATAAAAAAAGGTTAGTTGCATTTAAAAAATGTATGGGCAAGTTTGCTGCATGTGGGGAGAATAACGGATATTGCTGGCAAGAGATTGCTCTTAATAAAACATCTCCGTTTCAATGGCATGCTGTATTTTTACTTGGCTTGATCCTCAGCCTCAGAATCCAAATGGAAATTTTTTGAAACAAAAGGGGGTTTCTGGAGGTGGTATCCTGTTGTTTGTATCTCTGTCGCACTTTTCAATCAAATGATTCGTACTAGACTGAAGTTTGACAAACCCGCTGTAGTGTCACAAAGATAAAGCTTCCTCATAAAATCAAAAACATATAGCAGATGCATGTTTTATTGAACATTACTAAAAATAGCATTTTAAACCCTTACTCTGTCTGTAATGCTCTTTAAGTATCTTTTGAACACTGCCTTCATTATTAAGTCTCTGAGCTTCTGAAATAAATTTCTGATTTTTTCTCTTCCACAGATCTTATTTTCCCAAACAGTTGATGTTTGTTTCCTATTTTGCATGCGTGTGTGGTGAGTGAATTGTCAGTCAGCTGATGGCTGTTCAGTTGTGTCAGACAAGATCCCAATACAACATCCGTAAGCAAATTTCAGACCCAGTACCATGAATACACTTTGAGATTCTTAAAGAATCTCAATAGAAACTAAGATGACATGTTTTGCTGTTTGGCAACTTGATGATCAATGTTAGGGTGAGGGGAGAAGTGTGCTGTCTTCCTGTTGTCATCCCCATGCTCACCAGTGTGATGCAAACTACCCCTTCTAGCTTTGTGCTTTGCCAAGAGCAAGGAAGGTGAAATACAAGATGCATGAGTCTGCTGGGTTTGCAAAAACAAGGGGCTCAAAAAGTGCTAAGAAACTGAGGACTGGGAAGTGATATAAACCAGTTAGTAGAAAACATAGAGTCAAGATTTGGTTGGGTAAAATAGACAATTGAATGAATAGTTCTGTACAATCAAATATGTTATTGGTCTTGCATGACATTATAAACAGCACTTGCTGAAACAAGACATGAAAAGCTACAGTTTTATGATGTTGTGGCTTAAAATACAGCTATAAATGGCAGATAATTTGCTTTAACAGATAACAGATTCAGCTCAAATATTGCATTTCCTCTCCTTCTGAAACATTCCTCTTATGGAAAAAGACACCAAGCACACGTTCTTTTCTTTTTGTTAAATCCAGTTTAGCACCATCAGTGACAAAAAACTCATTTCTCTTGCTGAATTTTCCATCAGGCTGATAGGTGAAAGCTTTTAGCACCCATTTTTGTTATTTGCTTTTAGCTTTTCAGTTCACTTTATAAGTAAGTTTTGCTTATTTTACTTCTAGAGTTGCAATCTGAATAAACCATGGTACTACTTCTAAAATTTAGCTACCTACACAGATAAGCAAAATTAAAGGGGCTGTATATAGAATTGCTTATTTTTGGTAGTCTGCAAGAAGAGAAACCGCATGCACAAACCCACAATTCTTTTGAAAAAGAAAAAGTCCTAACTGGAAAACAGTAATCTTGTAGGAAGGTCTCTAAGATAGGAATTTGAAAGGTTTGTAAGCATGGGCAGGGTAAGAGCAGTTCCGATTTAGCTCATAGAGTTTGCAGCCTTTCAGCCTGGTAGGTCTTTTGGATGTGCTGCTTCTGCTCCCCTTGCAACCTGGGACGAGTCTTACGGCTATGAAATTTATTTTATACCCATTGCCTTCTAGCTTCCACAGTTTCACAATAGTGTGTCTTTGGACAATGTGGAGGTACTTGTTCTCATTCAGGGCTATATATGTGCCGTATCAAAAATCTGAACTGCTATATTAGATAATATGCAAATAAAAAAATCCCCACATATCTAGCAAGACATATTAGCTGGCAAATATTTTGGAGCTAGAAGGCTGAAAATAAATAATACATATGATCTAAAAAAGCTTACAATAAACCGAGTCTTGACTTCAAGCAAGTTTTGAGCAGCTCTTTGCTTGCAAATAAGTTTGGTTAGTAATGTGTCAGCATAGGTGATCTCTAGAAGCACATGAAATGCTGTAGTATCACAGTCTCTGTGCTTCAGGAAAAGTGGAAATGCAACTGAATTTGGGTTGGTTGTCTTTCACAGCATCCTGTGGACTGGTCTGGTTGAATGGAGTCCAAAGTCCTCGAGTCTCCTAAAAGAGGATGATATATTAAGACAAGAGTGTATTACGCAGGAAGACGTTAACAATGAATCTCAAAACTTATTGTGAATGTTAAAATCATACTGACTAAAATATACTGAGGTTAAAATACAGGGTAACTTTACAAATCACTATTAATTTCTTTGGCTTTCGTTGCAATAACATTGATTTAATTCATTAGATTCCTTTCTAAATCTATATTTCAGTTTTAGAGTTGTCAGTTTCTGTTAATGACAATTTTGCCCATCTGTTCTAACACGAAAATGAGGCTTCATGCAGCAGACATGATAGATCTCTGATAGTTGAAGAAGTAAGAATCTTAAAGGTATTTCATTTGGATTAGATCCACTCTGATGAAATTCACCCTTGAAATTAAGCCTAGTACTAAAAACTTTTAACTGTATAATCAAAAAACAAATGTGTCATATCCTGTCACTTAGGCCACTGTATATTTCAAAATTTATCGAAAAAATTTCAAAACATTCCCACACATTCTCTTTCTAGCGACAGAGCCATAATTTTGGGTGTCAGCATATCAGAATCCATTGGATGTGATTAGAATCAGAATTAGTTTCTTTAATTTGGCCATTCAAGCAGTAGTATGACTACAGTAAGTCATTTTGCTAAGCCAGCCTTTGCTACCAAGCTGGGTTAGAACTTCTGTTGCAATCCAGGTTTAAAACTCCCGATCCTTGCCCAGGTCAATCTTCTGAAGGGGTTATTTTTCAAAGCAGTGTCTGAGTTTTAAGCACACAAATCCAGTTAGCAAATAACAAGATTATGTTCTGTGCACTGCTTTAAAAATTTACCCCTAATATCCTAGAGATAGGAGCACAGCTATTGCACATGCTGCAAACAAGGTATAATTTAAATTGGTTTTAGTAAGCAGTTCCCTGCATTTGTGTAAAGCAATGTTATTCTGGGGAAAAAATGCTCTGCTAATTATTCAGTCTAGAAAAATAAACACATCCATTAAAGGCTAGAGTGCATATTAATACATGACCTCTGTAACCATAGTGTTTGATTTGCAAAACTTCTAGAAAATTTTGTATCCATTAAATATATATGGAATTGGATTTTGTCTTTATCACTGAAAGTTACCAAGCATACACTGCCTCAAACTCAGCACATTTTGCATTGCCTTGTAACAAAGGAGATGGTTCCTACCGTGTGCTTCATTACTGCTTTTTGTCTTAGACTTCTCTTGACATACAGAATATAGCTGGGAAAATCAGACTAAGGAAGCTCCTACAGGACCAGATTTCTAATTTCTAAATACAAACTACTGAAAATTTAGCTTTTCAAGTGTAATACTTCTAACAAATTAAAAATCAACAGAAATATTATGCTTCTATGTTACCTGTTCAAGTGTATAGAATGTACAAAAACTTTAATCAAATACTCAGGTTTGCTCAGTTTTAAATTGTGTTAGTTTAATAGTTTCTATTCTGCTGTTTATATTAATGACATATTCCCATCTAAATATATTGCAGTGCTGAAAAGCCATCAAAACATTTCTAAGGTTGAATGAGTGCAGTTGCATTCATGATTTTCTAATAAAATGATCTCTTTCTATTGAACTGCCTCTTTTATTTTTTTTTTAAACAGAGATTGAGATTGTATAATATATATACATAGTTATAGGAGCATTATAAATACAAACTGTAGCTTCATTTACTGTCTGAATGTTTGATTTCAGTTTATAACTACACAGTGGGCTGAGAAATGTGAGTTACTGTACATAAAACATGAGAGCAAAAGAAAGAAGAATAAAAAATGAAAGATGCATTTGGTTATTTTTTTTACGTATTGATTACAAGTCTTACTATTTGAAGAAGCAACTGATAATTTGTTAATAGTGATTTTTTTTTCCAAGAACTGGTGTTTCTAAAAATGATTTTAATCTATTTTCCCTTTCCTCTTTCACAGTCCAGTTTACATTCTCTGCTCTTTAATTCTGGCCTCTTTTGCAGGCATTTGGTATTTGTAGTATATGTATAAAAGCAGTTTGATATTGGCTAAATTTGGGCATAGTCCGTGTTATGAATAAGAACATCTGCAATGGAATTAAAAGCAGCATTCACCAAAATCCAAGTGTGAAGTATCCCAGTTAAGCATATGATTCTGAATGCATAATTTAGTTGCCATATTTTGTTTCTTTCCTCTGTGTAGAATGTTTATGAAATTCTCAGATTTATTAGGTATTTAGAATTTTCCTTTAATTTCTTACCGCTTTTTTCCCTCCGAGCTTTCTGTGCCTGTAGTTAATCTGCGCTTGGACTGGTCTCATGTCATTTTATTTTGTTTCTATTCGTGTTGGATGACTAGCCAGCCTATCAGGGATTTCAAATATTCAAATCAGCTGCAATTCAGGAACCCGCTATAGTTGTTTGAGTTTAAAGTGTGTTTTCCTACTCATAAGTTCTGCTATTCAAATACTGGGGCACCAAGCAGTCCTAAATTGTACTTATCTTTAAAACCTAATGCCTGTGAATCTCCCCAAACACTCAGACACACACACACGCGTTCTCTCTCATTCCCTTTTTCTTATTTTCATGTTAATTGTTATGGGAAGATTTGGAAACTCTGGTTAATTCTCCGATTGCAACTATTTCAGCTGGTAGTTGGTCAGGGAAAGCAAACACGAGAAAAAAATCAAATGAGATCCCTCTACAGAGTGGGTGACAGCCCAGAATCTGTGCATAACCTAGTGAGACAAACACCAAACCAAAATATTTTGATGATGACCGAGCTGGGAAGCAGAAGGTGAGCACTTGCTGTGGAAAGCAAGGTTTGATGTAACTACATGTATCTGTGTTACTGACCATCTTCCCTAGAAGTTTTAATTCAAGAAGCCAGTTCCTACCAAATTCAGCATGGGAGGGCTGGATCAAAAATAAGGTAGTTAGTGTCCTTGAAAATATAAGTCACTGGGTACAGAAAAGAGATCCTGTTTCAAGCAGAAGATGGCTTGTATTGCTCACAGACACTGCCCCAGCAAAACACACATTCTGTCTGGATGGTGGTGGCTGGAGTGAAACATCAGATGAGTATAGATGCTACCAACGCTTTCACTTGGTGTGATGTCAGTCATCTGGTTTGTGATGAATTCATTTAGAAAATAAGCTACTGAAAACAGTCTTTCAGTTTGGGAACCAGAAATGATTTGGTGTTTACCCAGACTGAGGGCTTGGGTATAACAATAAATCCTTAAAGGAGCACAATAAATTGCACGACTAGTTTGTCAACTTAAAAGTGGTTATCACTAGGTTGTCTTATTTTTATATGAGTAAAACTGTGATCTGTTTAAAAATGTACTGAATTGAGAAAGGTGAATTATGGTTTGAATTGTTTAAACACAGAATTCTGGCTTTGTTCTATTGGATGTGAAGAGCGTAACCAGGTTGTCTCACTTACAGGCACCTGACTTGCTTCCCTCCTGAGAGCTGAAGCACTTCCCAAAGGCAGATGGTCTTCCTCCACTACCAATTTATGTAGGCTAAACTTAGGTGCTCTGACTGCCTTTCTGCAGGGTGAGTTTCCTCCCACACACAAACATGGAGGGAATAATAGGGTTTATCACCCAAATAAAATGGAAATAAGTAGCAAAATTCCAATGTGTCTGTCTGCTGTTTCATTCTTAATATTTAATTAAGAACATGGTATCTAGAATGTAATAAGAGCTGAGTGATAGTTACTAATACTTACTGTGTTTAAAGTTTAGGAAAGCTTTCAAAGATCTACCCACAAGTCTGTACCGAGGTGCCAATAGAAAGGCTTTACACCATTGCGTGGATTGAATATGATAATCTGATCTGCACTCCTAATAGTGCTGCTCTGCTAAACAGACTGTTCTAATCAGATAGAAATGCTAATATATATAAAATCTTTACCCATTTAAAAATAATAAAATATTTTGCTCCAATTAATTCTGATTGTGCTAGTAGAACATACAATCAACAATGTTATGCAAATAGTTGTTTTTGCAGTTGAAATCAATAACTTATTTTCTTTTGTAATAGACAAAAATATAGAAAAAAGATGTTATTATTAATTGCTTATAAAAATAAATCTTTGTGTGGGAAGCCTGCAGGTATTAATCTCATTATAAAGACTTTCCCTCAAAGTCTGTATGACCATTATTGTTCATGATTCGACCACTCAAGAAATCTTGCTATAGACTCCTATTTTGAAAGTATTTATTGGAAGCTGAATGAAATTAGTTCTTTATGAGCTAAGTAATTGTAAAGTTACATTATCCTGTGGAAAGAGATAACTGATAAAATCTGACAATTTCAATTTTAAAATGGCTGTGCCTTGCTACACTGAAGCCATGATAACCCTCATATTTATAAATCTATAGCTTACTGGCTACACATACATAGTCATGAAGTATCGGTTGCGCTTCCTGATAAAATTACTTTAAATATTGATTATAAAATAACCTGCGTTTAAAAAAAAAGCATACTGCTTGCTCATGCATATGGTATTGTTCGCTTCATTTGAACTCCTGTATCCCTAATTCCTTTCTTATTTTTGTTTTGTTCTCTTGAACAGCCATTGTTCAACTTTGTTTGATCAGTAAATGGGAGAAGCTTCACTAATTCAGTTTTAATGACAGCCCTGCACACGGCAGGTTTCTTGTCTGCTGAGGAGGAACATTGACACTTTGTTATGACTTGGTGCATCCAGCCTACACATCTTAGATAGTATTTTTAATCTCTTTAAACTGATGAGAAGTAATGGATAACTGCACTGAATATAGAGATAGTTCAAGCTAGTAACACAAACAGCTAATGCTGTTCACTAGTCTACTGGTTATACCCTACCCTTGGAGGGCTTGCGTGTAGCAATGACTTCTTGTGGTCATAGCTTCTCATAGTCTTTGAATGACTATGGAATCTTCTTTGCCACTGGTCATGCAGACTTGTCCTTGACTTGTGCCCTCAGCACCCAAGCAGACATCTTAATGGTGTCTCTTTGAAGAGGTACCATTCTCTTGCAGCTCCTTTCCACCTGCATAAACTAATGGGGGGCATATATTATTCCAGAAAAGGGCTGCTAGGTCTCCAGCAGTGAGGCTTGATCCACACTAAGGTAATTACTGTGTTTCTTTACCCTTGCCAGTGGTCCAAGATATACAGTGCTGACCCTGTGTCTGTGTCATTAACTTTGAAGTTGTGCCTGTGGATGTCAAAGCAGGATTGAATTTCATCTCCAAAATGATGATCTGGTTTCTCCTTTATTCACAACCAAATTGGGTACAAAATCATGATTCTTCCATAATTTTCTTCCGTGCTCTTTTCAGCAAGGGAAAATCAACAGATCTAGACTATATTGTCATAACTTCCATTCATAATAGAAGTACCAAATTTCCAGGATGTGTTTCGTGTTAAAGGCTACTGCTTTAAACTGAAAAAAAAGAACCATTGAGACCTCAGGACAACTATAGCACCATAGCATTATCTATGTTGTGAATACATGTACTATTTAAAAATCCATCCCTCTCCAAAAGTTAGCCATATATCACAGCAGACTGTCCAAAGTGGCGTAAAACATCCAGCAGATCAGAAGCAGGAATTCCATTAAAATATTGTGTCTGTTTTTCTGCGTGTATGTGCAGGACAGCTGGGCCTGTTTTGATTTTTATAGAAAAACATAGCATCCAAAAGTCATAACTCCTTGTTATACACCAGGATTTACTCACATAACATTTTAAGGATGCAGATATTAATATGCATTACCACAGCAAGTTGGTGTTATGGGCTCCTTCTGCCTTAACTGCAGCCTCAGGAAGATGCTACCTGGCTGGGTCAGGGCTGGCCACATTTTCCACGGGAATTGTCAGAAACTTCCCAATTTCACTGTCAGTTCCAAAAAAAGATATTATAATAAATACAGAAATCGCCTCAGTTTATAGACTCTTTCCCAATTAGCTATGCTGGGGTGTGGTTAACGCAAACTAATCATACTCTGGAGTGCTAAAATGTACATGGTACTGCAGAGTGCCTTGCGTCTCCTGGGGTGTGATTATTTAATGATAATGATGCCCCCTGCAGAGGCACCTTATTGCTCTTTTGCAAAAACAATCTTTATTGAGGGGAATTAATTGCATTGTTGTTGATAGCAAGAAATAAGTTAATATTTTGAAATGAACTTTCTGGTTTGCACAGCTTAAAGGGGTGTTCGCACAATTATGTCAAATAAATGACCTGCTTTGAAAGTTTCTCTATATATTATGTCTGGATTCCAAAGCCACTCTGGATATACATTTTCTCTGAAGATTTAATTTCACTGGGAGTCTTGAAATACTCTCTGTTCCATGGGCACCTTGTGTTGCTGCCTAAAAACTGATCTCTTCAGGGTCACTGACTGTTTTCTAGTTAGAGGCAAATTTGCAGTTATGCCGGATTCCCACAGCATATTTACTCTATGCAAAGTATCTGAGAGCAACTTTTATGGTAGGGTTTTTAATTAGTGCAATGTATAAAAGCAGCACAGTTAATAAGGATGAAATTTGCTGGTGTGCTGACTTCTATGGAAGGCAATTGCCTCAGAGTCATGGTCATAGCCTAGTCTTAAATATCCATCCATATTATTGCACTGACACTACATAGATTTTGGAGGATGCAGCTCACAGTTCCCAACTGAAAGATACAAGCAGCAACATACACTTTACATACTCCTATTTACCCACTAATTTATCTCCAGAATAATCGCTAATTTACTTATCTCACTGCTAATGTTTGCTACAGTAGTTTGGGTTTTGTTTCTCACTTTATGGGAGTCTTTGCATCATTTTTATCACCTGCTTGCTTTTTTTATACTAATGGTTCAGCACATCAGCATTACAGTAATAATCTAAGTATATATTCATTGTAAAATAATGATTTACTGAAGCAGGATGGATGTATTTATCATGTATGCAACATCGCAACAAATGAAAATATCAGAAATATGCGGCCTCTTATCAACATATGTTTAGGCATACTGAATGTGTACGCGTGAATACAGCTAAGCCTGTACTGCTCCTGCTCCTGGTGACCCAAGCATGATGTGGATATCTGGGTAATGAGGGGGTTTTGCTGCTTTTAGATGGTTTGGCATGCTCCTCCTTCTTGCTGGAGGTATGTGATCTCTGCTACCACTCTGGACTCTGGACCAGTGTCCAATTCCTGCCCCCCTGAGAAGTCATATGGTTCAGTCTGTGTATTGGGTTTGCATGGCAAGGGTTTGGTAGTGGGAGGCTATGGTATGGCTTTTGTGAGAAGATGATAGAAGCTTTTCCTGTGTCTGACAGTGCCAATGCAGCCGGCTCCAAGACGGACTCACCGATGGCCAATTCCGAGCCCATCAGCAACAGTGGTTTTTCATTTCATCTAATTTTGTTCATATAAAAATGGTTTCCGTGTACACAGTCCTAGTTGTAGTAAAGTAGAATTGGCTCACTAATATACAAGCATCCTGCCGTTCATCTGTATGAAACCAAGATCTTGGATCAGCTTCTATTTTAGATATAAAATATTAAAATCTGGATAAACTAATTTATGTTGTGTAAAAGCTGGTTGCTTCCTCTTCAAAGAGTGAATGGATATTCTGATTTTTTCCATCTTTCCAGCTGGAAAAACAGCCGAACATGTCATTGCTTGAGTGCAGGTTTCTTATTTGCAGAGAAAAAGTATGGACAATTACAACATGCATTTCAACTATTTCAGCCCCCTACGAAAAGAGAAGCTTATTTGATCTGGCTCCCATTAGCTCAGTCAGTAATAATACTATATATATATATATATATATATATATATATATATATGTATATATATAAAAAGGCTACTTTTTTCAGACCTGTTAGACAAGGTCAGTCATTCTCTGGAGCTTTGTTTTAGTAGCTTTGATTGGTAGAAAATTAAAAAAATTGAAACTTTCAGGGATACTATGGGTGTTGACAGAAAGTCAAGGAAAAGAATAGGTATTTCTATTTCCAGAGAGCCATAGAAATTGGGAAAAGCAGTGCAGGTGCTGAAAGAGATGGTATGGATAACAGATGAAGCTGAGAGGAAAGATATTCCACAGGCTTTCAGGAAGACAAGGGAAGGCAGGAAGGGATTGGCAGTGGGAGCAGGTCCTTCCAGCTTCCCTGATCTGCCTGGCTCAGGAGATGACAGTGTTGTATGTATGTGAGCAGAAAAAATGAAAAGGAATAATCTAATACAGAGAACAAACCAGCCCTTGAAAAGCAAAGAAAGTAGCATTCAACCTTCCGGTGAAGAGTTGGCTCTGCATCCACCCATGTTTTATTTTGTTTGGTCTTGCTGCCTGGTACCAGGTAGGTCTTTGGGAAAGAACTATTCACCCACGACCTGACTACCTGAGTATCAGGATCACAGCCCTGAGGACCCATTTCAGTAACAAATTGCTGCTTGGAGCAGTTTCGAGAAAGATGGTGCTCACAGGAACTATCTGTAGATAGCCCCTTGGAAAAATATATGTTTGGCTCAACTGATGTCAATGAATGAATGAGAAGTTGCCAGTGTTGCTGTGGGTTGCACAGTGTTTGGAAGGTTGTGGTTTATCTTTGTCTGTTTTTTGTTTGGTTTGGTTTGGTTTGTGTAAGCTGTAGAAATCAGTGAGAGAGAAGCTTTTTTTAAGAAATCAGAACAATTATTAAGAAAAAAATAAACAACCTCATTAAAGAAACTTGTCTTTAGAAGATGCCTTTATTGGGAAATGCATGCCTTGTCTGGATTGTCAGTCTTCACTATTTTTCCTATTGAGTTCACCTCAGATAACAAGCAGAGATGATCAGCTATTTCCCCACGAAATAGGAATAAGAAAGCTATCTCCACCTGATTCATTGGCAGTGTAGATGGATACTGGATCTATCTGAAACTCCTTCTCTCTGGTAGATCAGTGTTTGAGGGATAGGGCTCTGAAAACCAAGACCATCAAAGGCAGAAAGGACCATTCTGGGGAAAAAAGAAATCTATTATAAGCTGTGTTGCATACATGTGGTTTGTTTAATGTGTGGCATATAATGCAGTTAATCTCCTTACAAAGTCACTGCTTAGAGAGTAATATGAAAGGAAATCCTGATAAAAGGCACCAGGGTAAATTTGACATTGCATGTAGCAGTCAGGTTTGTGCATTGTAACTGGAGAGGACAACATAGTTGTTTATTCAGGG